GCGGACCGCCAGGTTTAAGCCGTTCCGTTTTGAGGGTCCGATTCCTGAAAAAAGAGAGACCATGGCTGTCGCTTAGGTTCAGCTGCTGCATTGCCGGGGCGGATGAAGGTGTCGTCAGATGGCTTTTCAAGTGCATGTCTTACTTCTTAAGCTCCTGGACTTCAGAGACTTTTTGGGTTTGGCCAATGTTGGTGGCACCTAAAAAAAAGTCCGGCGACGCCTTTTGGTGCGAATCCGCTCAGGAAGTGAGATGGTGGTGCCCCATCCGGTTCCTTAGGTGGTTACTTTGGTCATTTTTTGCCAAGGGCTGCTAGGACTTGAGAACTTTTCGCCAACTTTCATGGGTTTTCCGTACTAAACCACTAAAAGCTATTCACTTTTAGCAGGGGAGCAGAAAGCAACCGAGTTTAGTGGTGTTTGGTTGGTTTAGTTGTAGTTTTCCGAATTTCACCCACGAAAAGTTGGACTAGCAGGACTGTGCATTTAAGCACTGTTGGAGGTGTCTTTTCGTCCGAGATCCGAATTTGGAGGTGACAAGCCGCAAATGGACCAGGGTGGACCTGAATCACCGTTGACATGGGTTGAGATTTGAGATCCGCCCGACGACTATGACGCCTTATCTATTAGGCGAATGGTCCAGCTGTACAGTTGAACTGGCTTGCTGCTTATTCATTGACCTAAAAGTTGCAAACGTCACTTAGCTTCGGCTGGAACCCAGATGAGTTCTCCACTTAAAGGGGGCCTGAGATTAGTCCGAAGTGAACTAGGCTGGCAGGCAATCGGTAGTTTGTCATGGCCCCACAAGGTGATAACAATGATAACCTGCATATTTTTCACGAGGAGCCCGGGACTGTTTTTCCAAGTCTTTCAATTTGGTTGTTTGGGGACACCTTTTGACGCATTTCCCGGGGTGTTTTGGATTGCAGGTGGCATTTTTCGGTTTTCGAGTGTACCCTTTTCGGGTTGCTTCGCGGGGAAGTAGAATTGAAAACCAGCAAGTTCAGGGTTGTGGGATCGCTCGGGGTTTCTCCAACCACTTCTGTGCTTTTGGGAATCCCCCTAAGAACATTTCGTCTTTGGGGTTAGTTGCCCTTTCTGTTGTATCACAGTGGGTTCCATTCCCAGCCCGCAAGTGGGATCGTCCGATTTCAAGACCCATGGCCCCCCAAGATTCCGGCGGGTTCCTTTGGGCATCTCTTTGAGCAAGCCTCTGAAAGAGGAGGAAATGAACCCTGCCCCATGTGGTTATTTGGGTGTGGCTCAAAATTGTATAGACACCCGGGGTTAGACAGGTTTTGGTCTACCCTTCCATTTACCAGGGCAAGCCATTTTGGACCCCAATTTTGAGCCACACCCAGTTGTTTTACTGGAAATTTCGCAAATTGTGGTTTTCTTTTGTTTTGCTTCCCTTTTTATTGCCCCAAAAAGACGAGGTCCCCCAGTAATTAGTGTCAAATCTGGAGAACCTGGAAGAGGTAGCCTCAAGAAAGATAAAAATGCGGTCATTACAAAAATAATAATGGGGTCACGGACCGATTTTTACAGGGTCATACCCTCAAGAAAGAGACTCACTTGGACCACCACACTTGGACCATGCTTCTTGCCACTTCCCAGGGCTTGCGCCATGTTGGACTCCCGGGATGTTTGAGCCACAGCCATATATGTATACTTGTATAATTGTACAATACTACTACTGTTAATCATAGTGGAGGTGGAGGTAGTAGTAGTAGTAGTAGTAGTAGTAGTAGTAGTAGTAGTAGTAGTAGTAGTAGTAGTAGTAGTAGTAGTAGTAGTAGTAGTAGTAGTAGTAGTGGTAGTGGTTTTTGGAGCCCCCCGCTGCCGGCTGTCCCTCCGCCCCCCGCCGCCTCTCTCGGCCCTTTCTCTCCGCCGCCGCCTCCGCCGAATCCGCTCCCGCGCCAGCCTCGGAGTTCGCAGTGGAGCCCAGGCCCAGGCGCGGCTGGGGGGATCCCCCGATAGAAAAAATGGACTTGGGGGAGGGGGCGACCCCTCAAAATTCCATTGTATAGTTCCCATTTTCCCCTGTTATGAGGCGGTGACTGGAAGAAAGGAATTGGGGGACCCCCTACCCCCTCCCCCCTAAGGTGGGGGGGGATCTTAGGGGTTGATTCCCCATTCATTTCAAGTACCGCGCTTTTCAAACATCCAGGTGTGTCCCCAAAAGTTTTTGGTAGTTTTCTCGAAAGAAGGATCCCTGGCAAGAATGGACATGAAAGCTATTCCTAGAAGCTTAGCTTTCTGAGGAAATAGTGATTTTCCCATTGAACCCACTAAAGCTCAACTCTGAGAGGGGCCGTTGCGGCAACCCTAGCGGAGTGCGACGCCTTCAGCTTTTTGGTTTTCTCGGAGTTTGATTCCCTGGCTCGAGCCGTGACCGGGAGCTCTACGGTTTTTGAATTCAAATTTGTTGTTGGAGGTAGCGGAGATAAGGCGCTGATCGTTTCTCTTTTTTTTGGCATCTTGAGAACCAAAGACCAACCAAAAGAGAGGGGAGTCGTGGGTTTCCTCCACTTCTGTTCCAACTGCTTTTCGGAGAGCCCCATTGTTTTGGTGCCGCACTTTTCGGAGATTCGTAGGCAGGCCTCCGGTCACGATTGCTTTGTTTCAGAGGAAGCCCTACGCAACTACCCCAACTACCCCAGGAAAAGGGAGCTAGGCGGGTTGCTCCCACCTGTTTTTGAACTTGTTGCGGTATGGGTGCGGAAAAGAGTGCCAATTCCTGCTTTAACCCTAGCTTTCCCCCGCATTTCCCATTTTGCATTGCCAAACCAAAGGCTTACCTTCTTCTTCAACTTGCTTTTGTCATTTTGGTGTTCATTCATTTCCCTGGCAGGGCCAGCAAAAAGTTGGCAAACCAAGACGGGTGTTCAGAGGTTTCCTCCAAAACACCTCGCATGGGCGACCCTCTAACTCAGTTCCTCTAACTCATTTCTTTGGGTTCATTTTGATGAGGGCGAGTGAAGGTTGGGCAACCCGGCAACCCAAAATCCTGGCAAGAAGCGCTTGTTTCTGTCTTCTTCTTCTTTTCTTTTTTTTTTTTGGGGGGGGGTAATTTTTCTTCTTTTTTACGATGAGGTTTTTTGAAAGTCACCCTGACTTTCCGGGTTTTCGAAGTGTTACTAGTGCCCAGACTCCCATGCGTTGACAGGCACTTGGCTCGGGCTTCGCGCGTCTAAAGGCTTTGCGGGCTTGGCGTCGACCCCAGATTCGACAACTCAAGCGGATTCCACTGGTTTCAGCCCGGCTCCGTCGCTCGGCGGAATCCGTTGGGAGGACCCCTCATGAAAGGACAGGGCTCCCCTGTGGGGGGGCGGGATCACCTTGACCCCAGACATGTGCGTTGCTCCCTTTTCACTTTCTTCGGGGGGTGGGCCCCTTCAAAATCAACGACTGTGCCAAAAGTGGGTTTACAGGATGAGTCGTCCAGACGGCGCGCTTTTTGAGGTTGCCACAATAGAACCCCCCCCCCCCGCGCCCCCAAATGCGTGGTTTGCTTTTGGTCTCCTTATGGCACGCCTAAAGCGGCCACAGCCTTCCATTTGCTCAATAATATGTGTTATTTTCCCTTGTTGGTCTTAAAGGGAATCTATCACTACTGGAAATATGTAAAACTAATATATATACAAATATATAACAAAAATCCAGGGGGCGAAAAAGCAAATGGAAGCAGCGGGTTCCCCCAAAACAGGGGGACACCCCCCCCTTTCCAAGCGCTCAGAAACCGTCCATGAGCAGAGGCCCCGCAGCACCACCGCGGGCCGCAAGGTGCGGGTGAAGAAGGCGGGAGGATTGGGAGGGAACCCCCGAGACGCCTGGGCTGGGCTGTGGTTGATTTTTGTTTCTTGGGTCAGGGTGGAAAGGTAAGCCTGCTTGGTTTAAAGGGATTCGATTTCACTACAAACCTATGTTTCTCACATTTTTCTCGGGCGATATTCGGCAAGTGTAAAGCTAGCTCCCTCCCAGTAGTTCCCTTTCTCAGCCCTTTTTTGGGGGAGGGTTGCCCTACTAAAACAGACTACAAAAAGAAACGGTACCAACTTATTCTAATCTCTCAAAGCTGGAGGACCCAGCAAGGGAAGCCAACTTAGATGTTTCAGGTGTCTCCAACTCATGGATTGGTTTGAAAGGGGCAAAGGAAACCGAAGCCCGTGTCCTTTTTTGAGACAAACAGAAGTGCTCAAACACTTAGAATCGGGTTGTGGGGGGGGGGGTAAAACAACATTGAGTCGCCAGGGGAAAGTCATGCGTCTCAAAATTGGCCCTTCTGATAGTTGTGTCAATGATGACATGACTGCATTGTACTGGCTGGCAACGTGGACAGGCGGGTATGCTGCCGGGCGGAAATTTCACTTTGATTAGAAAAGTATCCATTTTGGCAAAGGCCGCTGAGTGATGGCAAAGCTCCCCTTGAATCAGTTTGTCAGCACATCCTCCTGTGACAACCACGGGGAGCTCTTTGCTAGCCCTAGGCACTTGGTCCATAAATAGGAGAGCTTTTGACCCCCAAGCCTTTAAATCATGAGGGCTTCGGCCCAAGGTAGGTTTGCTTTTGGTTCCCATCCTTCATCCGGAAGCAAGTGGTTGGCCCTGCTTCAGGTCCCTGATTCGGATTTCTGGATCTCGAAGAGGTCTGAGCGCCGTTGCTTCAGGGGACAGAAAGCTCGCGAAGTGCTGAAGCATAGCTAATGTTGACTCCATATTCGGCAACCCATGTTTGTTAATATGTGGGTGGGGGCCCCTCCAAACGCACTAAACCCAGTGACAGCCCCATATTAGTAAGCGGAGTTGATTAATCCCATTATTTCCCTAGCACTGTTGACCCGAGATAAACCCGTCCTAGTATTGGGGGGGGGGTTCCCCGTTTCGGTCTGAATCTACCCACTCAAAGGGGACGCCCCCCGATGAAAATCAACCAGAGGTTCTTCTTCATCCGGGCACCCCCCCCGGTAAGTAACTTCACGAGGAAGTCGATCGAGCGGCGCATGGATCTCTCAGGCGGTTCGCTGATTCCGATCGGACGAGTCCGCGAGAGCATGCGCTCCCCTCCTTGATCCAAAAGGAAGAGGAATCATAGAATCTGTCAGCCCGGAGTCCCAACACCGGACACCACAAACAGAGACCAGAACCTGCTTCCGCTTGGGCATGTCGACAAAACGAGGTTGTCAAGAACACCCACTTGGGTGGGAGCAAAAAGCAGGTTGGCGTGAAAAAGCATCTGCCTTTTTTTCACTTACCTCTTGTTTTCGGGGTCCAACAAGCGGTCGAGTCGAAAACACCCCACCCTGAATTTCTGTTAGTTTTTGGAGAGGACAATCTTCGGCGGTAAGCAACACTGTTTGGGGCCACTCCGCTGAGGAAGCAAGTGAAAGTAGACCCCCCAGTCTGGGTTTGGGGTTGAACGTTGACCAAGTAGTGAAGAACCCCAAAAAGAGATGGTCACAAGGCAAACACTGCCCCACAAAGGGCCACGAGCCTTCATTTTGGCCGCTGGGATGTTTCTTGGTTGTTCTTAGCCATCCGAATCCTTCTTTGTTATAGGTTTTAGGGTTGAGTGACAGTTTCCATCAAACCACAAAGGTTTAAACTTTTGGCAGAGCTGTGTATTTTCCCCAACCAAAAGATGAACACGTATGCGCAGGGTTCAACCATTCACCACTTTGGTTGAGTCGTCCTACTCACTTACTCATGAGGGTTTTTGTATTCCACCCTTGGATTGCATCCTTGGGACATGACCCAGTATGGTTCAAATGAACACAGCCTTATCCGGAAATGTGCGATCCAAATGGGGTCAATACCCAGGTGGGTGCCAATACCCAGGCTGGAATACAAAAAAAGAACTTGGATAGAACCTTTTGTTTCTTGGGTTTTAGGGGGTTCTGAGACTCACTTAGATGGTTTCCGCAGGTCTTCGAGTCTCAGACCCCCCTTTAACCTCCGAGCCGAGCCACCGGACTTTGCTCCTGACGCGCGCCGCCGCCTTCAGAGCGTCCGCTGCGGCGGGGCGAAGCGGAAGCTGGCCGACGGCACGGCCGGGAAGCCCAGCGGTGGGGCAACTTCTCGGCGTCGAAGGTTGCCCAGCGCCAGACTTCCATTTGTTTACATATTTATATGTAACTATATATATATATATTTATCTATTGTTCATTATTATTATTATTATTATTATTATTATTTTCCCCTGTTGGTTTTAAAAGGAATCGATCACTACTGGAAATATGTTTTATATATTTTTCCAGGGGGCTGAAGCAAATGGAAGCAGCTGTCACTTGGCTGCTATTGGGTTGGATCTTTAGACTTTAACACTTTTTGGTTGAAAACATTTGGCGCAAAAAGCTGAACACTTTTTGCAGAGGGGTCAACGGCAACCAAGTTCATTTTTGTCGGTTTGGGCGGGAGTCAAAGTGTTGGGTTACAGGAAAATCTACAGGACATGGGCCCCAGAAATTTTGCAAGTAAGATGTTTTCCTTTTGGAATGTCCTGTGACCCAATCCTTTGAGGGAGAGGAAAGGGTTTTCAGGCAAACCTTAATTGGTGGTTTGGACCCCCGGCCTGTAGTCAATAAGCTGTGCACGGGATGTCCAAGTTCAGGGGCGCCTTGTGATGCATGCGGACGCATTGGCCCTTTTCACCTGGAATGCACCCGCTCCCTTCTTGGGCCCTGAGCCTCCTGGCGTCCAACCTGACTTCAACAACTAGTATTTGCGGGCTTGCTTGTTTGACGATCCGCCTGACTTCAAAACCCGTTGCTTTTTGGGGATGGGGCAGGCCCCCAAAACTGTGGTTTTCGTTTTGGCTCCTCCCTTGAAAACCACCAAAAAAAGGGGGTACCGACTCATGAGCTGATGGTGCGGCAGAGAGAGAGACAGAGAGAGAAAACTCACGAGCCACCCATTTGCTTGCTGAGCCGATTTCTGGCGAATCAACCGCATGCGAATCATCGCCAGCCTTTCTATTTGTTTCGTGCTGGCAAAATTGGGGTCCCCAAACAAAAGGTACCCGTGGCGCCGTGACACTTGTTTTGGAGGATACCCCTTCTTCGATATGGTGTCAAAGGGAAACCGGAAGGGGCTTGAACAAAAAGGACACCGAGCAGGTTGTTTTTGCCATAAGGCCTCAAATTGGGCGCATGGTGATGGCAACCGCTGTTTGCAGGTCAGGCTTAGGTAGACGTTTTGGGAATGCCAGTTTAGGGGCCTAGCCACTCAGGAAGTGAGTCGCGGTTGGTTTCAACTGGAAGGTGTGGAACATATCCCGCGATCCTCGAAAGCGATCATTGCAAGGTGGTGTTGGAGGCAACGGGGCAATGGGAGCCTTGCGTCACTCTGGAATGCTGAAAGCTCACTTCAGCCATCCCCCCAATGGTGCGAAGCATGGCGCTGTTGAGCAAACCTGACGGCGGCACTCGCCCAATTTGCGTTGCAGCAATCGCGTGGCGGATCGGTGCGGACGTGCTTGTGAAACAGTTGCGGCAGTGGGCTTGACGTCGCAGTTCTTGGAGGAGTCCCTGATGCCGCGATGATCTTGAGCGCCGCCAGCCAGAACCTAACCGCGAATGTTGCCCAGGATCTGAGCAAGTTCTTTGACACGGTTGACTGGCAGTTGATGAGGCCCCCAGCCATACCAGCGTTTCCATTTGACCCACAAGTTAAACTTTTAACAGGGATCTGAGGAGTCAAAACCAGCTGCCCGCAAAGTTGCGGGGCAAAGCCTAGGGTTTTGGGAACTTTTTGTTTATCTCTGGAAAGGTTCGGATCCCGCAGTGAAACGACCACCTCCCAAAGCTTGGGTTTGCCAGGCTTTTCTACGAGACAGTGCTAAGCATGGCATCTTTCAAGCTTATATGCATATATGTATACATAGTTCTGCACAGATTGTGGGAAAGAAGGACAATGCCTATTACTCGTGTGTTGCTGTTTGTTTGTGATAGTTTGTTTTCTGGCAGTTGTTCTGTCAACGAATACCAGTTTCTTGACTGCAGGCATGTTGCCTCAGGTGTTTGTGTGTGTGTTGTTTTAGGGTCGGTCCGATTATGGGGCAGGTTGCACGGGAAAACCAAGAGGAAGCCACCTAGTTGGACGCACACCCATTCTCATTTTTGGTCTCCCATATGGATCTGACCTTGGCTGCCGCCTTTAGCCTTTTGAGGAAAGGTATTTTTGAACCTTTGACTTTTTGAGGAACGTGTGTTTGTTCCTACCAAGCCTACCTCCAAGCGTGGCGGCAGGCTATCCGGCAGCATGAAGGGAGCAAACAGATAGAACTTTTGGGCAGGAACAACAGCCACGGTGCGTGCCAGGATGATGATGAATCGTCATAACGTAGGCGGCCAACAATTGCACACTCTATTCCCTCACTATGGTTATGGTTTCAAAGTAACCCGCAAACCCAATCTCCCCTCCAATCACGGAAGCTGACAGGATCATGATTCAGGCTTTCAAAGTAACCCGCAAACCTAATCTACCCGCCAATCATGGAGGCTGACAGGGTGTTGGACGATTCTCCTGCCCCGCTCTAGGCATTTGGGCCCTGAAAGTTGACCCCTGGGATCTAAGTAGAACCCATCCCTGTAGGGGGAACACCCCAAGTGATGATTCCCAGCACCAGGGAAACTACCACAGCTTCTCATCCCAAAACCCGGGGCTCCCATCTCTGGAGTTTGCAAAGGTTTAAGGCTGCCTCAGGAATTCTAAGGACCTGTTTTGGGAACCCTAAGGAAGCTGAAAGGGGCTCTCACCTCACGAGATTACCCCTTCCACCGAAAGGGATTGCATAATTTGTGTGTGTGTGTGGTTTGTAGGGTACTCTTGCTGGGTTTCAATAGGATGTGGTTTGTAGGGTACTCTTGCCGGGTTTCAATAGGAAGCCAAGAGGAAAAACCACTATGAACTCCCCTTGTTCTTTCTTTCTTTCTTTCTTTCCTTTTTTTTGGGGGGGTGTCTGAAAATGGGATTCCGCACTTGGATGTTCAACCCGGTTACTAGTAGTAACTAGGTTACTTCACCATGATTATACCTTGGGTATCTTGGGTGATCGCCCACTTATAATCACGGCGAAATAACCTACTTACTAAGTTGGCTCAACACCTCTGCCTACCCCTACTCATAGCGACCCCCTACCCTTAGAGGAAACAAACCCCAAGCCAAGCCTAAGTGTGAAAGGGTTGGGATACACGAAAATCTACAGCACATGTCCCCCAAGCACCCAAAGTCAGCGGTTTTCCTGTAGAATGTCCTGTAACCCAACTTTTTGGAAGTGGGTTACACCTTCTCTGCCCATCCCCTGCCCACCTACTCATAGCCACCCCCAAGCCAAGCCGTGGCTGGAAGACCCATGGATCAAACCACCAGGTGGTGAACCCCTGCCCCCTGCCTTTAGGCCCCTACTCATTGCCGCCCTACTCCTCGCCGCCCTACTCATCGCCGCCCCCCCGCCCTTCGGGAGACTCCCAAGCTGAGCGTGGGTTGAAATCAGGTGGTGAACCCCGACGGCAGCAAGACCATGCCGGACGGCACCCTGGTGCCCGCCGACGCCGAGGAGCAGAAGCTGCGCGAGGACACGGCGGGGATGATGCGGGAGTCGCGGGAGTCGGAGTCGAGTCGAGTCGAGTGGGCTGAGGGATGGGGGGAAGAGGCGGGGAAGGGGTGGACGGTGGAGGCCTGGGGTCGGGGTCCAAGGACCTGATCTCACTTGGGTTCCGTTTCGGAACTTCGGGGACTTTTTGGGTTTGGACGATCTTGGTGAATAAGAAGTTTGCACTGATTTTGGCCAATCCACTCAGGAAGTGGCTCATTTTTAGAGGTCTTTGGGGGCAGGCCTTCAAACCTGGGGCTCCTAGTTTTTGCGGCCCTTGGGACCCTGAAAGCACCAATACCCGAAACAATGAAACCTCAAGTGCCCGGGAAAGTAGACCCGGCGAGATCCATTTCGATGTTTTCGGGAAAATGGCACGCATGTTGTTCGACTCTCAAAGTCAAAGTCCAGAGAACATGGCGGAAGCTTTGGACTTTCAGAATTTGTTCAAGTTGGATCTTCAGGCTTGCAGTTTGTTTGGGAACATGCGACTTTTCCCTCGAACGGAGCTGGAGTGGGCTTGTCTCAAAATAGCGAACCTCCGCAATGTCCGCCCTGAAATTCAAGCCAAGGTAGGAAGGGTCCGCTGAAAGGAGTTACCCAGAGGTCCATGCACTGGCTTTCATGTATTGACCAAGCAGAACCCAGTGCAATCCATCCATTTTATCCTTTCGCCCAAGGCCTAAAAGATAGGCATTGTGTTTCTAAGCTGGGATGGATGAAGCCCTGCAAATCACGGGATAAATCACTTAGCAACTGGTGAAAACAGTTTGTCCATCCAGGTGTGACAACACCAGTGTTTATCGTTTCAGGTGTTTTTTTTTGCAAAAGGCGGGTGTTTTCTTGGGACATTCTTTCAATGGGAGTCGGCAAGGGACCCCAAGGTGCAGGAAGAAGGGTGCCACTTGCAATGGGGATCCACTTTGGGAAGGCCTCCAGGGGGTCGACCGGACCTGGAAGCCTTGAAGGTTGACTGGACCTTAAGGCATTTTCACGCTGGGCCAACATTTAGTTTTCACCAGGGTGAAACTAGATGGCGCAGTTCTCTTGAGGTATGTGACTAAACCACATGACTTCCCCAGAATCAGCTCCCCTTTTTTGTTTTTGTGCTTTTTTGGGGTTCCCTTTGTTTTCCACTAACCAGGCAAAACTTTTTTTCTTTTGCTGGGGTTCTAATTCCAGCCTAGATGAGAAATGGTGCCATCTACTTTCACTGAAGTGGCCCCGCTTCTTGGGCAAGGGCTGCATTCGCCTGAGCAGGGGACATACCCGTTGATTCCCCTGTGGGCGGGGTGGGTGTTTCAGAAGTTCGCCACAGAGCCCCAGCCCTCCGGACCCTTAGCTTTTTAGCCTTTCAGTTGGTTTGGTACTTTCCATTTAAACCACTAAAAGTTAAAAACTTTTAGCAGGGGATCTGAGGACAGCCCGGGTTTCCGAATTTTTGCCCCACAAGGGACAGCACTTTTCGCAGATCTGAAAACGGACAGCTCAGGTACATGGACACATGGGCAGATGGGGTAGGTTTGTTCTTAGGTGCAGTCCGTGGCGTTTTTTGTTTTTGCTTTTTGCGTAGTGGACTTTGGGAAGGTTCTAGGGGTAGCTTCCCCATTTTTCTCAGGGATCCTTCTTTCTAGCAAACCGCCAAAAACCCTGGGGAAACGGCTGGTTTTTGAAAGAACGATGGCTGAAAAGAATGGGGAATCAACCCCTAGAAAGATCCCAAGGGGACGGGGGTCGCTCAAAAAGGTCACCTCTTCACCAGCTGATGTAGAGGATGTCGTTGTGAAGAAGGTGGTTTTTGGATTTACGGCTGACCCCGGATCAATCAACCCCCGTTCATTCATAGGGGGTGTCAAGCCGTCTTTTTTCTCGCTTTCTGGCTTCATGGACGTTACACTTTTTGCGAAGACCGTTTTAGTTGTAAACAACAAGTTTGGGCACTTCGATCGGAAGTGAGATGTTGTTGGAGGCGTTCCCCTAAAAAAAGGTACTGATTCGCCAGCCCATCAAACCCAGGGTTAAGCCTGGCTTTGCTTTCCGCGGCCTATCTCCGGGGCTGGGCGGAATGGAGGAATGGAGGCCTCAATGAAAAGGGCAGACCTTCTGTGGATTTGTTTTTCGGTTTCTTCCCTCCGGGGCATAACCAGGGTCCTCTTTGAGGAAGCCATCCATGAAGACAGTTTCCGGTTGGCGTGAAACTGTTGGTTGCCGCAGAGCTGCCACTCTAGCCTTGAAAGGCATGCTTCTCCGCACCGTTCTGGGCAACTTGTTTGGTCTTTTTTTTTTTTTTTGGTTTGTTTATTTTTACTAGGCGGCTGCCACAAAACGACGTTTGTGCAGCCATACCCAGGGTTGCGAAGTTCTGATTCTGCTGCATTGGCCCTTTTTCTCAATCACACCTTGCGGCTGGACTTAAAATCCGCGACCGCACCACGGCTGAAGCCATGGCTGAAGCCAGAAGGTTCGTTGTTGTTTTTGTCTCGGGGAATCCTCCGAAACCAGGGTCTTCTTGACCGGGGTCTTCTTGACCGGGGTGCGAGAAATAAATTTCGCTTTTTTTTATGCACAGTATGTGGGGTCTTTCCCCAAATTCTGTTTGGACCCCGGTTGGCTAGAACTTGTTCAACAGGTCCCGCAGTCGAGGCTCGGGCAAAACAGAACGCGCGCCTGCTGCTACTGCGGCTACGGTGCATCTTGCCTCTGGACCGTGGCTTACATAGTTGGCCACCAGCGCCGAAGTTCATTCGGCCAAAGGCCTCCGGACATTTGCGCCATGGCTCGCCACACGGACTTGCCCCCACTGTTTTTTGGCCTCGACACAGCGACGAGATTCGCCCGCTTCATGGCGTACAGTGTCTCTGGGTGCTAATTTGGCAAATGCGTTTCTCTTGTTAGAATATTTTTTTCCGCAGAGACGGGGCACCGCGGTCAAATGTGTCTGAAAGTGGGAGAACCCGAGCAATGGCAAGGGTTTTCCTTTCGGAATTCCTTCAAAACCAACAAAAGGGGGCTTCCCCCAAGAAGAGACCACACCCAAATGGCTCCCCAAGTACCCTTAGGACTTTTTCAGGTTGAAGTTGGGACGGTGCCGCGGGTCGATCCCCCATGAATCAGCGTCCCCATAGGCGCCAGCTGATTGGGTGACGTTTCGATCGATCTCTGAGGATTTTTTTTGGGGGGGGAGGACACCCATCCTATTTCAGGTATCCGTCTTCTTATGGTGGTTTAGGTTGGTGGTTTGGGGATTTTGACCCCTGGCCTAAGTACCAATCCAAACCATCAGTAGGAAGCTGACTATTCCTACAAGGGTGGAGGCCCCCACAAAACCTACGCTCAGAATCAACTTTGTTTTGCTGGTGGCGATAGGTAGGGAATGTGGGAATGAACCCAGGGATTGCCTTAAAGGACACAAGTTGGATGGTTTATAAGGGTCATTGCCTCATTCCCTGCCCATTGCACCCGCAAGTTTTTGTGGTTTCGTTTGGTGCAAAGGGACGCCAAAGGACAGCACTCACCTAGGTCCCCCAGTAGTGTCCTTTCTCACCCCTTTTTTGGTTGGGAGGGTTCCCCTACTAAAACAGACGACAGAAAAAAGTTGGTACCCTTATTCCAACCTCTCAAATCTGGAGGACCTAGCCGCATTTGGGGGGGTTGGTTAGAGCCCACCTGGCGAGGTCTGCGGCGGGTATCATTGCGACATGGTGTCCACGAACTTGGCCTTCCTCCTGTGGCTGCCATGGCCGGAGTTGGAAATAGATCCGCCCAGGGCGAGGTTTTCATTTTTCTCGCTGCTCGTGACCCGTTTCACGAGCCTTGCAGGGGCGCGGTCAGTCCGCCCTCTTCCTAGAAAAACAACAACAACACCACTTTCCAGGGTTTCATATCTGTTTTGGTGTTCAATAGTTTTTCAAGACCAGCCTTGTAACGTTGACCCGGCATTGATAAACCTCATTCAATTCCTTTGGGGCGATTGCATCCTCTCGAACATGGCCGCGACCCCCACTCATCAACAAATGGTTTATCCGGGGTCGACGTGTTCCTGGGTGCTTATTCCCCACTCCCCCCCATTAATACACTAATTAGTTGATGAATATGGGTCAACCTTAAACGGTTTCTTGACGAGTTTCTTCATCACTCGGTTTTCATCAAGTTTTGCCGCCCAGATTTCACCAACTCAAGAGGTCAGTGGCATGTCTAGACAGACCGTCGCTTTGAACCGTTGAACCCGGCACGCCATGCTTTCGTTGAGCCATCAACTCCTTTCCTCTTTGCTGGTTGTGGTTCGTCTTTGTTTGAGTGTTTTTTTTAGCTGGGTTAGCATTCCGACCAGAGGACCTACCTAGTTTTTCCATATCAAGTATTGGAGCCGCAGAATGTCGCTTGTCATTGCTAGACTTACCACCTTTTTGTGTTTCTCTCCTTTTCCATCATTGTCCGAAACAAACAGGGGGTCCGAGTCTGGACAATTCTGGTCTAGCCTTCCGTTCGGGGGGCTTGGAGCAAAACCTAGCATTCTGACCACCATTGCCCCCACCTGCTCCACCTGCCTCCACCTGCCTCCACCTCCCCCACCTCCCCCCACCTGCCTCCCCCACCTACCTCCCCCCCCCACGCCTGCCTCCACCCTCCACCTCACTCACCTTCCCCCGACCTTCCCCCCACCTTCACCCCACCTTCCCCTCCCCCTGGCTTCCCCTTGCTTTCGACCTCCGAGGCTTTCCTCTTTGGTCGTCCCCCGGTTTTGGGACCTCGGCCCGAACTACGTCCCGCTGCTGGCGCTCGGGGCCTTCGCAAACTTCTTCGCCGCGGCCACCACGCGCTTCAACGACTCGGGCATGTCCAGCGGGCCGCCTGGACCCATTTATTGCCGGTCCCTACAGTCATCGACGGCCCAACCCCCAAAAAAAAAACTTCAGGGGTTCATGGGGGACAGCCCCTCCCCATGGCCCTTTCTTGGTGGCTCCCAGCCATCCGGTGAAATGTAGTTGGATTTCCGAATTTCACCCACAAGTTAAATTATGTTTTTCTTTTTTGTTTTGGCAGGGGATGAGAAAACAGGCAGCCCAGTTAAAGGGGCGACCGGGTCAGGGTTGTAAGGTTCTGGGTTCACAAGGGATTTATCCCCAATGAGCCCCTTAAAAGAGGGGGGGCACGTCAACCCGAAATCTCTATTTGTAGCTCCATGTCCTATTTCGTGGGAAGACTAGAAACATGGAGTTGGGCATGGCTTTTGTGGGCGAAACAACCATGGCTGTCACCCGCTTACCTGACGTACCCTGCCCCAGCAGGGTTCAACTGGACGATTCGTTTGAAGAGAACCTCCCAAGTTGGGACCCAATTGTTGGATCATGAAATTCAGGGGTAAAGAATGGTGGTTGTATGAACCCCCTTTGACTTAATGCTGGTACCTGAACCTTTTAGGTTCCGTTTTTCGGCCCGTTTGACCTTTAGGGCAGCGGGGAGCAGGAGCAAAGAGTGTGTTTCTGTTGGGCACCAAACCGATTCACCGCTTCGGCGCCCCTCGAAGCCAAGGCTCAGCTTCTTTCTGCCGCCTTTCTTCATGGTCAGCCCGCTGGTCCTCCTGCTGGGCGGAATTCCCACCATGCTGTGGGCAGGTGCGCGCGCGCGAAAGCGCACGCGGGCGCGCTAGCGGCCCGCGCGGTTTTTTTCAGTGCCTAGGTCTCCCAGCAATAGGTGCCCCTTTCTCTTTTACCCCTTCTTTTGGGGAAGGGAGGGTTCTACTAAAATAGACGACCGAAAAAAGTTGGCACCCTTCTTCTAACCTCTCTACTAAAAAGTCTAGGTGCTGCGGGCTCCGATTTTTCCAGGGGCCGACGTTTTGCGCATCGCCAAAACTGTGCAAGCAGCTCCACGGCGCAGCTCAAGGCGCAGCTTGTCTTCAACCGAGTCTAGCTGCACTTGCGCCGAAGGTGGCATGCCAAAGAGATCTCCAGCGCTTGGTTCCTCGTGGGTTTTCCAAAAGGGCGGATAAAACAAATTGTTGGGATCAACCTTTAAGATTATTAGGTACTAGAATGAGTCAATCATTCAGTAGACACATTGAACAATCAACTGAGTTGATGTTTAATCTGCAGTGGAACACCCCTGCACCTGAGGTTGGGCTGTCCTAGGGTTCTGTGAGACAGCAAGCATGATGGTTCGTACGCAGGGCACCATAATTTACACAGGGCATTTTGGACAATGACACAAATGGTGGTGCCTTGTTTCAGGGGCCCCCCAAAGTTGTAGTTTTCCTCTTGGTTTCTCCTTAAAACCTCAACAAAAGGGGCACCTCCTCAAACAAGACAGGCCATTTGTCTTTTGACCGGCCTTTTGTCCCTTTTTTGTTGTTGGTCCTGTTTCTGGTGTTGGTTGAAAGTTGGACACGAAAGGGGGACACCACCTATTTGGAAGACACACCCAAACAATCCCCCTTCATCTTGGCCACCTGAACCCCCCCCCCCCTACGCATGGTGTCGTCTGATTCCTTCCATTGTTTAAGACTTTTTTCTCCCCTGTTGATTTTAAAAGGAATCGATCACCACTGGAAATAATCAAATTTATTTTTTCCAGGGGGCTTAAACAAATGGACGGCCTAAAAAGCAGGGGCCCTCAGCAGCCAAAAGCCAAGTCCTCGTGGGCAGGCGCCGTGTG